GTAATTTCCGTGGCCAAATTGAAATTGCCGTGGCCACTTTGATTTTGCCGGGAGCAAACTGAAATTGCCGTGGCTAAATTAAAATTGCCGTGAAACTTTTGGGCCACCGTACTTTTTAGCATGCTGGTTAGCGCGCTGGAGTTTTTACCGAGAATTATTGGCTAATTTTAGATGTCACGCATCGCTCCCTTCTCCCCAAGGAGGGTGCTGCGTGACATCTCAAGACTAGGCACTTATAGGTTTCCAAGGCTCATTAGAAGTGGCCTTTTAGGTAATTGATTGTGACAATGTTTCTTGTCTTCTAGTGAACAACGCCGGTGTTGGTTGTGTAGCACCTCTAGAATGCATGACAATGGAACACATAAAACAAATGTTTGACGTGAATTTCTTCGGATCCGTTCGTTTAATCCAGGCCATCCTCCCCGGCATGAAAGCGAGACAGGATGGTTACATCGTAAATGTCAGCAGTATTTTTGGAATAACGGGTGGGCCATTTAATGACATGTATTCTGCAGCAAAGTTCGCAATGGGGGGTTTGACTGAGTCGTTAGCTCCTGTACTGAAACAGTTCAATATTAAGTAAGTGGTGCTTTTTCAAGAACCCTTCATAGATAAACAGTATTCAGGCTTTTCCTTGCGAAATGAATGGTTGGTTATTTTCATCGTGTTGTAACTTTACAATCAATATACTGTTTTTTTTTAGGATCTCATTGGTTGAGCCGGGACCGGTAGTTACTTCGTTCATGAGTAACTTGAAGGGTATGGTGAGTCAAGTGGACCTTTCAACCGCTGACCAAAAGTCGATCCAGCTCATGCAGTCGGTTATTGCCACGATGACAGAGTTGACAGGCAAAGAGGGACAAAAGTCAGAAGAAATCACTGAAACCATAAAGGAGATCTTGCTCTCGGCCAAGCCCCACATCCGATATCTGACCAATAAAACCTACGGTGTAGACGAAGCGAATTCTAAATTGTCTGATCTTACCGGTGATAAACTCGTTGAGGTGCTGGAAAAAAGGTTCTTTACAAAGTAGTACTTTTTTTTCTGTCCCATTTTCAGGCAGCCAAATTGACCGCAAAGTTAAACCGTTGTTTAGTTTGTGAAAGGTTTCAAATACGATAAGTAGCATGGATTTTAGGGTGTTTATTGAGAACTAGATACAAAATAATAACCGTATCTTTCAATGTTGTTCAAAAGAAAAGGAAAATGTAAGAAAAGGAGAAAAGACAAAAAAAGAGCCATCTGTATTCCTGAGGCAAAATAAATTTTTAAACAATTGTGTGTAACGTCATTTTTACTTTTCTGTCTAGTGATTGGTCTTTTCAATGAACCCCCAAGCAACCCGCGAGAACGATGATGCCAACAGATCGCAGATGTTTGGTATCAGAATATTTTCCTAATAACTTAGTTTTTAAAGTAAGGTATCAGTTCGAAATATCAAATTTAAACTGTCCCATATTATTGATGAGTGTAATTAAGTAAGGTTCTTTTACTCATTTTTTCTGTAAAGAACTATTTGTCTATATCTTCATTTAAAGGATAATCTTGATCTTTCTTTTCATCGTTGATGGCTTCCTCGGGCCTTGAACCTTTAATAAGATGTAACGAAGCAATAATATTACCATGTGGCATATTTATTAGATCTACAAAACTGGCAGAACGGAGCGCTAGCTGCGCGTCATTTAAAAACCTTTTTTCCTTCGTACTAAAGTAAACAACGACAACCCAGATATTTCTAAGATCGTCGGCTTTTCGGCTCGATCTGAGAAGCCCTTTAAAATGCGATCCATTTCGAGTCGAGATTCATGATGGTTTGGCGTTTATAACCTTTGAACGTAAAGCTCATTTTATCACTTATTTTACCTTCCTCTTTTTGGTGGTCCCTTGGTTTTCGATCCCTGCGCTTCAAGATCCTGTTATTAAGAAAACAAAAACATGTGCTAACTAACAAAAACAACAAGTTAGGGTTAAAAAAAAGGGAAAAAGTGGACGTAGGATGAGGCATTCGCAGAAGGTGGTGGGGGGAGGGGGTTGGGGTTGTATGTCCTTCGCGCGCTTTGTGAAGAAAGAATATGAGATATAAACTGAGTTGTGGTTAATGCCGAAGCCCCACCTCGATCGGTAAACCTAAGAGGTCGCCTGTGTGGAACCCTGCGCTCATTTCAAGACCTTAACTTAAACTGATATGGCAGTAAAAGCACTTATTATCCAACTACACCTAGACGAGTACAAATAACGCCATAGACGAGTACAAATATCACGCGGTATTTGTACTCGTCTATTATAGAGTACCGGTTAAACAGGTTTTCTCGCATCGCGCAAGCGAAGAATTGGATTGCAGATACGAAAAAAAAAAAAATGTGGCGGACAATTTGAATCATATTTCCGACGACCAAGAGTCAGAATGGCTGGCAAATATAGATCCAAGTTCATTAGATGAATCGAACGAAGAAAAACAGCTTGACGACCAGAAAATTTCTTCATTTAATGAAGAAAATAGAAACAGCGACGCAACAACGTGCCAATTCCGTTTCGCTTCGCACACTTCTGTCACGCACTCCCCGTAAATAAATATTCGCGAAATTCGCCCGCACTGAACTGAAATAACAGTTTGGCGTGTTGGATAATTAATAACTTATTAGACGTTTTGTTGTGTAGTATCGCTGAGTATTTTTACTCGTTATTTGTATTTTGACTCGCCCTACGGGCTCGTCAAAATACGGCACAACTCGTAAAAATACTCAGCGATACTACACAACAAAACGTCTAATAAGATATATCTATTATCCAACTACACCTAGACGAGTACAAATAACGCCATAGACGAGTACAAATATCACGCGGTATTTGTACTCGTCTATTGTAGTACCGGTTAAACAGGTTTTCTCGCATCGCGCAAGCGAAGAATTGCATTGTAGTTACAAAAAAAAACAAACAAAAAAAACAAATGGCGGACAATTTGAATCATATTTCCGACGACGAAGTGTCAGAATGGCTGGCAAATATAGATCCAAGTTTATTAGATGAATCGAACGAAGAAAAACAGCTTGACGACCAGAAAATTTCTTCATTTAATGAAGAAAATAGAAACAGCAACACAACGCGCCAATTCCGTTCCGCTTCGCATACTTCTGTCACGCACTCCTCGTAAATAAATATACGCGAAATTCGCCCGCAATGAAATACTAACAGTTTGGCGTGTTGGATAATAAATAACTTATTAGACGTTTTGTTGTGTAGTATCCCTGAGTATTTTTACTCGTTATTTGTATTTTGACTCGCCCTACGGGCTCGTCAAAATACGGCACAACTCGTAAAAATACTCAGCGATACTTCACAATAAAACGTCTAATAAGATAAATTTACTCATGACCAAGAACTGAAGAGGAAGAAGAAAATAGATAAAAATGAAAACAAAACCCTAGATCAAGGTGATTTACTCGGTTAAAATGAGAGCAGCTATCATCAGCAACGCCATGACAAGAAAACAAAACCCATTTAACCCAACATGTAAAAATAAGGGATAAATGGAGTTGAATAAGGCGGCGCCAAACAGAGTGCAAATTGTCTCCAGAGTCGCAACAGCAGCAAACAATGCACCTAAAAGCAAAAAAGAAAAATTTTCAACAAAACGCGCAAGTAGGGATTCGACAACAAATTACTGTTTTCATCGTTTTCTGGTCATTCTAAAAGAGAGGAAGAAGGTAAGCAGGTGGATTCTGCTCAAAATTAAAGCCCCTTTCCAAAGGAATTCATCGCTTAAATCACTGCTGATGAATTCATAGGCAATGCGTTAGGTTTACCTTGTTCATCTGGATCCACCATCTTAGACATCATGGCTCTGATAACTGGTGTTGGAATCCCACCGAGACAGGCTACAAAAGGAACTGATTCCAATTCAAGAGATTTAGCGCTCCTCAGCGTATGACAAAGTTACAACTATGCTGCTACATTACCGTAATACCATATCATGTGGGCATGATATTAACCCTTTCATTAAATTAGTTTATGGTGATTTACGCTATGATGGTAGTGGCATGACAAATTGTAACTTGGTTATCGGCGCTTTCCTTTTAACGTACTAAGCCTGCATAAGAGAACCACTCGCCAGATAGCCCTACGCAAGGAGCTTACCCAGTTTTCTAGAGAAAAAACGACCAAAGAGTTTTCTTCCCTTCTTGGGTGGGATTGTAGTCATGAAAACGTTTCTCCCCTTCTCCAGAATTTTCCTTACAGTTGACTATAATATATTGAGTGGGGAGGGGCAGTGAGGTAATACGCAGTGGAAGAGGTCCTGAATACGAGTATGATCAATTGCCTTTCACAAAGACGCGAAACAGATGGTTTAGCCGTGCCTCCAACTCGATTCTCTCTATCTAGCCTGGCTGTTCGAAAGGTGCATAGCTCCATTACTTTGATAAACTCCGACATCAGATAGCGCTGTGGTGTTGTTAACGCTTATTCGCTGGACAACGGTTTTTCCTCTGGATAGCGTTATCCGCTTTTTGAAAAACTGGACTCTGATGCCCAGCGCTCTAACTTGATAAGGCCACCACTCATATTTTTTATTTCCTCTCACCCAAAACTTACAGATAGTCTTAGCTTTGTAACTCGGGTCAAACTTACCAGCAAATAACACTCTCTTGCTTTTAACAAATGCCATCATAACCAATGAACATATCACAGATATCATTCCTACTTGCATTAGAGTATGCTCTGATAAAATCATCCTTAAAAATTTTAATCCAAGAATTGCTCCAACAGCTTGCACTAGAAAGCTCGTTGCTAGGTAATAGCCAATCAGGATAGAGTTACAACACAATGGACGGTCAATGGCATACAGTACAATGACACTGCCAAATCCGATTGAGGACACAATCATAAGGCCAGAGGTAAGCATAAGTATGCACATGCGCCATCGCTCGCCAGATCGAGGGTTTGTAAAGATGTAAATTATGACCCGGATGTGATGTAAACTGAACACCTTTACGTTGGAATTCGCCATTAAATGCTTCGCTCTTGACTCGGGAAGTTTTAAAACTACGTAAAACAGCGCAAAAGTGTGAAGCGTTAAAATCATCATGTAGGGTGCTTTGTAGCCTGTTTTGTTTATTAGCCAACCGCTGCTTAAATGACTGAGCATACCGCTTATAAATGCGGTTGCTTCTAGGATTCCCAGTCGAAAAGCACGTTGTGATTCTTCTGTAATATCTGCCATGTACGAAAACACAGACAAAACCATTGTTGGGAAGAAACCACACAAACCATTTATAAATCCTGCTAAAAGTAACGTCTGTATTGGAAGATTAAACGCAATAACCCATAATATTATGGCTGACTCTATTGCACTTCCAAATATGGGTAAGGCCATCACTCTCCTTCGTCCTGCGCGATCGGACCAGGCCCCTAAAAACAGCGCAACCAAGAGTGACGGAGCACTGGCAGAGAACACCATGCCGAGTTGCATGAAGGAAGCTTCGGACTGAACCTCTTTTTGCATTTTTATAGTTTCTCCATTTCGAGAGGCTCGCATAGAATCGCAGTTACTTAGACTAGCTGTTGTGTTATAGATGATGCCTTTCTCCTCAGCAATTCGTCGGTGGATGTACTGTTGAATAACTGGGACATGAAGAATTATCCCAAACGCGTAGCAAAATATCACCGGTTCAACTGTAATTTTATGGATGCAATGTTCCTCCTTGTCTTCTTCCGGAAGGGAAAGTGATTTCTGCGTCATCTTCAAATAAATCCTTGTTTAAGTGATGAAATTTTCAAAGAAAGCCTGAAAGTAAAAACAGGTGATAAAATTAAGAAAGCAAACGATCAGACCACACCAACTTTAGCTTTACGGAGTGATAAAAAAAAAAGAATCAAAACACTCGTGATGCATATCCGAGCTCGTGAACGACAAAAGCCCGTAAATTTCTTGGGTTTCTGAGGTGCCAAAGTGATTAAAAAGCTAGCTTTATCTCGGGTGATCCAAGTCTTTGCTTCTCATAATTAAAGGCATTGCATGAATCCTTCTGAGGAAGCTAAACTGACCGTCCTCTATTTTGTGTTTACGTTCTCTGAGGAACAAATCTCCATGAAAATAATGACCTGAGAAGAGTTATGAGTCAGGGTCTAATCAAATACCCCATGTGACATAATTTTCCGTTAGCGTTGGAAATATTTGTAGACTTTGGCTTCTGCTAATGAAGAATCCCCTCAGTAAGACTTTATATTTAGCCAAGCATAGCACGCGATTGTCGAATTCTAGTAATCAATGTGAACTCAGAACTCGCTTTGTCGATCAAGTAACCCCGCGCCCCAAAAGCTTTTACCCGATTACAAATAAAAAGACTTGTCACATGTATCAGGCCCAGTCAATGAGTAAAACAACTGGAATTTTATGTTACAACGTACCTTTGAAGTTATCCCATCTAGTACTAAAGATGACCAGAATATCAGCGGCGCCATTTTTGATATAGTTTTGACATTCCAGCTTAGAATTATTTACAAGCTTTCATTAATCACTCGATGTTTGTTTACGACTGTTGACCAATAGAGTCCTCGCTCTTTTGTTGTTCTCGAGAAGAAATTTTGCTGGTACCAGTAATTCAAACCTACGATGATTCCTCTTCCCTTTACTTTATTCGCCCTAGAAGTAAATGAACTCGCCTGCGAGAAAGACCAACTGAAGCAGAGAGAAAAATGGAGAAATATATTATCAGTTATGTTAAATGGGCGAGTGCCTTTATTCTTCCGCGATTCTCATAGCGAAGGTCAGAAAGTTGAGCAACGAGATCACGAATCTTACATCGCAATAAGCTACAGTGATCTCGCGTAAATTTTAAAAAAAGGTCACTCGTAATCACGCGATAGAATGCCCTCGGCTGACTGACCTGATCTGTTTTGGCTGCTGCATCTCATTGGCTGAGAAGCTGCGTAGTGCAATGGTGCAAGTAAACAATATACCAACGATAAATTTTTCCTGGGGAATGGGGAGAATATGTTGATTTGAAGGAAGCATGGAAACCAATCTTTCATTACATCATCTTTCATTAGAGCCTGCGAGTACAACTTTATCAGCGGTCTTGCTAATCCAATATGGCGGACACTCAAGGCTCTTCACAGGCTGGAAGAGGTCGTTTTCTTACTGGATCATGTCAGTGTTTTTAAGAGCGAATGAATGAGGTAGTTTAGTAACTTTTTGTTATTGTCCGTTTTAATACAGATAATAAAGGAGAAATTCAGCCACAGAAGTCGTCAGGTACCACAGAAGGAAGAGAAGCTGTGAGTACTCGACTTGTGTTGACTTGTGTTGACTTGCCTCTTACGGAAAATATTCTTACGGAAAATATTCTTACGGAAAATATTCTTACGGAAAACACTTATTCGATATGCGTTAACGACTGTATACGACAATGAAGTTTTTCTTCTACCTGATTATTTTGTGAATTTCGTTTTCGACCTGTTTTGATCGTTACTCCCACTGAAGACAATCTCTTCTAATTTTGCACACATTTTAAAAAGAAGGCTGAAAATCTTTCCAAATAGATTAAATGAATGGTCACAATGGCGAAAACGTCCTTTGAAGTCCTCGTAACTT